CGGCAGGCGAACAAATGGGCAGCGGCAAGAAAAACGAACAATTACGGTTTCAATCGCCAACCATTGATGCTGTTACTTTGCCACTCTTTTCAATTGTTGCTGCTGTTTTTTGCCCGCAGATATGGCTGGTGTCGCGGTAAGCACCAGCGATTAAAGCTTCAATTGCACATGCGCGTCTACGCGACGGAGGTGTCGCTTCGAAATAATTACACTTTGTTCAAGTGACAAAAGCTGGCAGCGACAGCCACGCCTGGAGCGATCGACTACTATCTATGTTAGTGGTTATAAACACCAGCTAGAGCCTTACTAGAGCTATATGTACATTCATATGAGTATTTATGAGTTCGCATGATCTAATCGGCTGATCGCTGGCAGTAAACTATAGAAAAGACCATTCTTGGGCGCGCGCGCATTCGCAGTCAACGCGATATGCGCAGCTATCCACTAACGACTGCCAGTCAGTCAGTCAGTCAGCCAAATACTAGTTAACTATCCAGTCCAGCTGATCAACTGAATGCTAGCCAGTGTTCACATTCATTTATGGCGCACAACAGCATTCCATGAGCTCAATAGATTTTCCGCAGACATATTCAGACGCCAAATAGTTGGATGGCTAGCTGACTGAAGCTTCTTGCCACTGCAACATCGGGGCGTGGCAATTACGATCGTACATTGTAAATATGCCCCCTTATGCGCATATATGTACATATTCAATTGCAATGGCATGACTGACATGCTGGCGAAAACATTACCCGCAATGGGCCTTATAGAATACCAAATGCTAGCTGAAGCGAGTGTAAGCGCAGGGTGCACGCATGCGCATTGCTTTCATTGCTCTGCATTCATAATATTAAATTCATTGCAATTGAGTTGAATTGCATTGCAATGTAACGAATAAACTCAAATGAACTGAACTTCGTTGAACTGCACAGCGTACTTCTGGGGCAGCAGCAGGTATGTGCAGCGCTTGTTTGTTATTTGTCTGTAACGTTGTGCCTTCCTTTAATTCCTTTCGCCTTCTTTAAATGCTAAGCCGATTAGTGATTGTGTTTGCGATAATATGGCGAATAAAATTTATGTACGTAGAATAGCTGAGTGTTCGAATTATTACCGGAAATTGTGTTCGATCGTATCAACATGTAATCTGCAAGCCGCATCAGCAGTAATGGTGGCAGCAGCAGATAGGCAGTATGTATGCATGTGTGTTGATAAATATGCGTAACAGCTTGACTTTGATGGCTTGTGATTATTAGACTGCAATAAAGATGGAATTGTATAGTTATGTTTTATGGCTTTTTTGCTATTGCATAATTCTTTCAAGACCATAAATAAAATATGTTGCTTAACTAGAATTCTGTGTACTGCATATGTTTACCATAAAGATTATAAAATTTTACAATTACTGAGATATACTGTGTACACTTAAGCTTGCCTAATTAGGACACTGAGGCAAAATTGTGCCTCTACCAACATCATCATTGAATCTCAGTCATTCGGAAGCGTGATCAGCAGACCTTCTGTCATCTTATGTAGGAAAATGTAAATGATGACGATCAATGTTAGGTTAATTTTGTTGCCAGTCAGCTGATGTCTACCTTAAAGAGTTTTTAGGCGTCTTGACAAGGCGGGTTGCTTAAAAAGGTTAAATTTGTGGTGACCCCATAGCCATAACTATTTCTATTAGTTTTTAATCGGTAAAGCAATTAATAAGATATTAATATTAAAAAAAAAAAAATCTAAACAGTTTAATTAAGTCTTTTGTATCTTCTTTATATTTTTGCACCAAACAATTTTGATACAGTTGAAATCAGCGTGAGAAGTTCTATCGGGCCACACTTCTGGTTTTTGCATAGCTAAATGGTTCATATTCTACACTTATGCCAAACGTTTGCTGTGAACAATATTTTTTTTTTTGAACGTCTGGCAACACGATCTTACTCGCATTTCAGATATCAGCTGATTATGGTTATGGCGGAAAACCAAAATTCAATTGGTCTCTATGGCTATAGCTATGGCGTTATGGTTATGTCACAACTAATTTAACCTTAAGCCGTAGCCAAGATAAAGCAGACGCCGAGAAAAGAGTGTTGAGTTGATTCCATCTCGTTATCCCCTAAACAGTTGTATTTAATATGTATGATATGGGCGCCTATTGAACAAACCCCAATTTCTGCGCTGAGTTAGCTGATGAAGTTCCATTGACCGCCCACACTAAACAGCAACAGGAGATGCCTTCGGTCGTTGCCTAAACGCCAACTACATAGCGAGTCGCTAATATTTCCCGTCAAGGAGCACAATTTCATGCTCAGCAATCAATTTCTTCTTGGAAGCCTCAGTATCATGCATCCACATACATTTGCCTTTATGGAGCCATCCCCTAGGTACATCGAAGGGTATCTCTATGAACTCACGGAAGACATTCATGACCTATATACATATATATGTAGCACAATCACCGGACTAGCCGTTGTACCGACAAACCATTAATAATATTTACGGAGATAAAATCACAATCGCCAGCGATCGCGGATGAGGTGCTTCGGCTGCCTCCGGAGACCCGCGTATAAAGGAACTAAAGGTCACTATTATCTGAATATTTTCTTTGAGGAGAGCCAACTATATTTCTATGGCGATGGCCACAAAATAGTCAATAGTTTGCATTAGATGTCAACTAACTTGTAACTAACTACTTTTGGACATAAAACATCAATAAGAAAAATTATATTTATATTTATTTATTTTTACTTGCTTATTTATTTTCTTTATTTAACATTACATATTTGTTTACATATTCTGTTGTAGGTGCTCCCATATTCGAAATTCCATTAGACTGCAAAACGATAATATAAAATTTTGATCTTCATTTTATTTGTCCTGGTTTCCAAAAACTATCTGTGAAGTGCAGAAAAAAAGTTTATTCAAAGGAAAATTTGTATGAGGGATATTTAAACAGAAAACAATCTCCCGATTACATCTGCATGACTCTTGCATTACTTTTCAACTAGTTTCTAGTTAGCTTTTTGTTGTTAACTTCATGTTATACATTTTATAGAAATCCCGCAAAAAAAGCTAACAAAAAATGAGTTATTTTTTATCAATTGATAGTTTTTTTCTGCAGGGTAAGATCTGCTACAAGTAGACTTTACTCATAAATATCATATTACCAACATCCCTTCCACTTCTCTTTGGTCCGACCCCGTCGAAACGGAACGTTGCTTGGGCCTACCGTTAGTTAAGCTTAGCGATAGCGATAACAAAAACCGCAAATTTGCAGATAGACCTGTAGTAGAATTTTTTAAATCAACACCGTAAATCATCATCTCCCAAGGCTATCTAAATGAACCAGTGGCGCGTCTAAAAATATGCTAAATCTGCAGACAAACTTAACACGCTCCTCCTATTACCACATTGTTCCATTATAGAAGGCGCAGTATTTAACAAAATTAAACAAATATCGGCTTACCAATTTCTAGAATTTGATTCAGAACTAAGATACGATAGGCTCTTGCCTCTGGTGTGCCGAAAAATATGCTATCATAAGGATCGACAGCAGACATTAAGTTATTGCAGAATATTATAGAAAATACCTGAAGTCCACCGATGAGTCAGATTAATAAAATATGTTTCGCCTAGAGCAGGAAGAAATCAAGAATTTACCATCGTAGGACAAATTAGCAAACTGTGTCTTCAGAGAGCGTAAAAGAAATAAGCAGATCATATCACATTTTTCATTAGCATTCAATGCTGCATACTTTTGGGCGGATATCCTGAGAAACAAAAACTACTAGTGAACCCGCATGGCGTCGAAACCGCGATACCGCTTTCAAAACAGGCGGAAACCCTCTTAAAAATTATTTTCGACCTAAAATATCCTTAAATATTTTTCGTCTGACATTGTTATAAATATTTCAAGTAACTGATGAATTAAGTGGAAATTTATTTTTTAAACACTTGGCAACCCTCCTAAATATAGTTCTTAAATAAAAGATTTAAAACCCATTTCCATTGATAACCATCGGTTAGTAATTCATTTAACTTATTAAATAATTTTAGTTTAGCCCTTTAAACTGGGGCAACCCTCAAACACATCAAAAATGTTCTAAATTGTCAAACTAAGTATTTCTTGAAGCTCTATCATTTGACATCCATCGTTAATATTTCATATAACTTTGGTATAAAATAGTTCAATTAGACTTCTCAAATAGGTGGCAACTCTATTCAAAATATTTCCAAACTACTACCTTCTTAAGCCTCTTTTGTATGACACCCACATAGCGATACCTTATTCACTTACCAAATTCCTTTAATTAAAACTGAATTACATATTTATAACCCTCAAAACCGTTTCGACTGATACCCATATTTAGTAATTGATTTAACTTTTTAATTAATTTGAACTTAATTTCTTAACAGGTGGCAACTTTTTTCGAAAAAGTAAAACCTTCTTGAACATCCACATCCTAAGCCCTGGAATTTGGTACCTCACTTTTGAAAATCGAACGGACGGTGCGGATCTGAGGGCATTGATTATTAAATAACTTGAGTTTAATTATTTAGCAGGTGGCAACTCCTTTCGAAAAAATAAAACCAGTTTGCACATCTACAGGCCAAGCGCTTTAATTTGACACCCCATTTTTGAAAATCGAACGAACGGTGCAGATCTTTTATGCTGCACAAAAAAATGCCTTCGCGTATTATATATATAGATAGATACTCCTCAGTTCCGAATATGGAAAATCGTATTTGAAAAATTACTAAAATTTTTAACACACCATAAACCGACTGCCTTTTATGGAAAAATTTCCCAAAAAGAACTACATATTTATGTTGTAAGCACTTTTTAGATATATTTTATTATGCCATTATTTTGATTAAAACAATTTCGCGAGATGAGCCCATAAACCTTAGCCAATCAAAATGGGAGAATAAAATAAAATGAAATACTGGGTAAAAATGAAAACAAAAAGAATAAAATCTAAAAATTATCACAATTAATACTTCTACCACGCCTGCAGTTGGGCAGGGGCTGCAAACGCATATTGTTGCAAATAGGGCGATGCGGCAAAGTATTGCGGCGCTGCGACAGGCGCAACAGCAGGGACAGAAACTTGCGAAGCCAAAGCTGTGACGCGTGCTGGTTTCGCAGCACGCACGGGGGAAGCGGCTGTGGCAGGAGCAGGACGATCTCCATTCGAAGGTGCCGCTGCAGTAGCAACAGCTGGCTGCGCAGCGGGAGCTATGAAAGCACTTGGCTGGTAGTAGGCGGCTGTGAGAGGATGCACGAAGCCAATCGCGTTGGCTGGATAATAGAATACGCTGGTGTTAGGAGTAGGCGCAGCAGCTTGTGGGGTGGTCGTCTTCACCTCGGTCACTTCAATGTCGGTAGCAACCTCCGCTTCATCTTCACGCTCCTCGCGTTGCTCCTCCGGCTGTGAGGCAGTAAGACGCTCCGATTTCACGGCGCTTGTAAGACGCTCAGCTTGTGGCTCATCCTCGACAGGAGCGTCGTACAGGCGCTGTGGTGCTTGTGGGAAATTTTGCTGCGCGGTGGCGAATTGTTGACGCTGCCGCGTGAAGGCTTCTGAGTTATCCGAGGGCGCGCTATAAAAACGCTGTGGTTCTGTGGCTTGCAACGTTTGTCGAAAGCTTTGTGGCAAGCGTGACTGCTGTGGTGACGTAGCGGAAAATTGTTGGCGTGAGAAGGCTAATCGTTGGCGCGAAGCTTGCGTCTGACGGAATTGCGCGGGTGCGTCGTAAAGCGCGTTAGGTGCGTCGATATGATCGCCGTTGGAGCCCAAACTGGGAGTTGACTCCAAGTCGAAGCCGCTTACTTCGGGTTGTGGCTCTGCTTGAAATTGTGGCTGCGCCGGAGATTGGGGCTGTTGTGGAAAGAATTGTTGCTTGTCTGGAGAGGGGATATCGAAGGGCTCACGCGGCTGGTAGCCAGAGGCGGGGTAGGGTGTCGGACTGGCTTCTTGTCGCTGAAGGCGCGTAGTTAAGCGTCCGAGGCCATTGTAGCGCAACGAGGAGACGTCAGCGCTGGCAAGCGTGCTAAATAGCGCGAAGCTCATGACAGCGATTGTGGCGAATTGAAAAGCCATTCTGCCGATAGTCCTGTGGTGTGATGCTCAGTGGCCGTGTTTTTTTTTTTGTTAGCTTTTTAGTTAGCTTTTTAGTTAGGCGGTCTATACTGACTGCGGTTGCGAATTGCACGCGTCTATTAGGCGTTTGATACTGTTGGCACTGCCAGAGAATGCTTTTGTTTTATATACCTTGCAGTTTGGGGTCGCGGCGACTGTAAGCTGTTGTGAAAAAATTGTAATTCTTCCAACGTGCCGCTGCCGTGACAGCGTGGGGAAGAGCAAAGCGACTGGTCGCTTCTTTATACCTGCACACCGGCAGCCCCTACGTGTAGGCGGTGGTGGGGGCGCGTGCGCAAGCGAAACATAGAGCGAGCAACGTACACATTTCGCTCGCGTTTCAGACTTTGTGAACGCTTTTTCGAATTCATTGACATTGACCGCATACCGCGTTGTAAGCGGGGCAGCCCTCCACTTATTTTTTATGTTAATATTTTTCTTCGAACGTCCGTTCGCTTCGAGTATTTGTCCTTGCAGGCACTGCAGTGACATGCATACTTACAGGCATGCGCTGGCGCACGGCACATCAAAATGCAGTTGTCGTTTTAATTGTTATTGGTTTCATTGCTCTTTTTTACCAACTTACAACAACTTCTTCTTAGTTTTTATTTACAATTTTTTTTGACATTTTATTTATATTAATTTCTTGCTTGGGTCCAACAGCATTTCGATTTGCATTTGCTAGTTCAGTCACGTAGCAGTCGTAAAATTGGAGGTGTTTGAATTCGATGACCGGCGGAACGGTGGTCTATGTCTATATGTGTATATTAAGGCATATGGAACAGTGTGTGCTTTATTTTTGGGGATTTCTACCAAAGCTAGTTTAGTACCCGATAGCGGCGTATAAACATTTGATTAAATTTGACGATATATTTATGTGTGTACAATTGATGTACTGTGCCGGTTACATGACTGATTTATGTGTGTTTTAGTCATTAACGGGGTTAATAAAATGCCGGTTGTAAATATGTATGTATGTTTAAATCAGTGCAAGTAATTTTGAATGGAGATGAAATTATGTTCATTGAAAGAGGTCTGTCGGCCTTATTTGTTTACTTTATTTGAAAGAAATATCTTCAGTGTGCGGACAAATTACGAATTAAAATTTTTTTTCTTGCACACAAATATTTATATACATAGCAGAGCACCCGACGTCGTTCGGGGGGGAAAAATAAAAATATAAAACAGTAATACAAATATTCAGTTCAGCATAATTTAAAGGAGACAAACTATTTTCTTTGTTTACATTAAGGCAAGGGCCATACTTTTAGCTTTATCGTGCTTTGACTAATATATATTGATCATCACTTGTACTACAAATCTTGTTCCATTATAATATTAGGTGGATTAAGGTAACGATCAAATTTCTAAATTAAAATTAATCTACTACGGTACACGGTACGTTTAGCTGCCTATTCGCTTAGCTGTTTTAGTATAGCTGCACTTTTCTGGTAGAATGCTTAATTCGGGAGGAGTTTTATTCATCACGAATGAACCTTTTTCGTTTAACAGCATCGCGGGATTAAAAAACGATTTAATCCTTCCATTTCAAAATAATCTAAAGTCGGCAAGGTTTCAAAAAAAAAAAGTTTTAAATATCCGAGTTATCTAATAGATGAGTACATATTAGGGATGCCAAAATATCAGGAAAGTTGGGATCCCGGGATTTCGGGATATTTTTTAGGTGATCTCGGGATCCCGGGATTTATCCCGGGATTCAAATTGAGTCATAAATTATAGAATATGAGTAAAAATTCAATATCTGAAAGCATTTAAACATACCATTAAATAAAACTATTTAAAATTTACGATAAACTGATTGTAAAACTCATATATCGTTAGCTTAGAGTGAAAAGTTGCTAACTTCACTATTAATGCAAAATCATATTTTGATATAGGAGGCTAGATAAATTAAAATTGCATCGTTTCGAAAAGGGTAAAGGTCCTTGTTTTATGTTTTCTCGTTTATATTCAATGAAAGGAAAATTTGCTAAGGCCAAAAAAAGCTCCGAAAATTCGATAAGGCCAAAAAAGTTCGAAATCTTTTAATAAATATCGAATCCCTCCGATTCGTATTGAGTTTTGCTTTGCTTTAAAGAGGCAAAATGTTGTATTCAAAGTTTTGCGAAATACTTGAAGAAAATGGCTATACGAAGTTTTTTCCTCTCCTGCACAATTTTTAAATCGGGACTTAGCAACTTTGCACAATACGCTAGCGATATTTATTAAATCAGACAAATTTTAAAGTAAAATATTTTTTTAATTGTATTTAAAAAACCATGTGATTGAGGAACGTATACATCACAAATAATAATGTAAATACCAGGTACTTTTGAAAGTGACGATTAATAACAAAAAACATAAAACAAAAATATACAAAAACAATTTCTCTAAACATGTTTATTCTACTCTATAAAGAAATGGCGAATGGAGAATAGTTTGCCTTTTTTTTGCAATTTACTAGAAATTTGGAGTTTGTACGAGTCAAACGGATCTCAGAATCGGATTCAGCGGGTCGAAAGACATGTTGGTAGTTGGGTCTGGTTAAAAACACACATCCCTTTTTTTGCCGGTGTTGTTATTATTGCACTTAAAATGTTTTCGTAAGAGCAGCAAAGCATTCAAAGCGGAGTCTTCTAAGCTTGACCTGCAGTTTTTACATACAAAACCTACTGATGAAAAATATATTTCGGCATCAACACTTTTAGACTGAACTGTCAAAGGTAGACATAATCCATTTGAAGATAATGACTCCTTACTCCTCCATTACAAAATATTTGAACTTCTTTTACCAGCACGTCGGTCAAATTATAAGTTTTTCGATTGGAGGAAGTTTTGAGTAGGTTGATCTAAAAAATTATCTAACTTTTCCTTAAAACTCTCTGTTTCGTTTACATTAGCGACGCTATGAGTAAATTCAGTGAAATCTTCTTCAAAAAAGGCTCAGGCTGCAATTTAAAAGTACAGTTTCAAGCTTTTTGTTAATTGCAGTCAAAACGGCATTTTACAAAAATCATACTTCAAAATTCATAAACAAATTCTTACTATCAATTCGATATTTCAAAATTTTCGGGATCCCGGGATTAATGCAAGCAAATCCCGGGATTTCCGGGACGTCACAAACACCGCGATTCCGGGATCCCGGGATTGGCATCCTTAGTACATACATGTATACCCCCTTTTACAAACATGTTTATATATACTTTACTCTGAACACCTCCCATATATACCTATGTCTGAATACCAAATTTCAAGTTCATGTGACTTATGGTTCCCAATTTATGGCTGATTAAAAATTCCACGCCTACGGGATGTGCCACGCCCCCTTTTATAAACTCATTCATATACACCTTACTATAAGCACTTACCATAGATATGTCTGCATACCAAATTTAAATTTCATGTGACTTATGGTTTTGAAGTTAGAGCTGATAAAATTTTCCACGCCTATGGGATGTGCCACGCCCCTTTTTACAAACTCGTTTATATATACCCTCGTATAAGCACCTACCATTGATATGTCTGCATACCAAATTTCAAGTTCTTGTGACTTATGGTTCCGAAGTTATAGCTGATAAAAAATTCCACGCCTATGGGAGGTGCCACGCCCCCTTGTCGGATCCCAATTTTTTTCACCCTACGTACATACTTTCACAAATATATAGTAGATGAATTCCTGAAGTTGCAACAGATTGAGTTCCTTTACTTTATGAAGTAGAAGAATGGCGAGCGAAAACACTAGATTTTGGTGGGTTTTTGACAAGCCAAAGCATGTGAACTCAGTTTAGCATAGAAAACAAAGCTACCGTAACTTAGATTTTCAAGGTCTGCAATCAAAATAGGTTGGACATATGTAGTTATTTTCTGCAGGATAAGAAGAAGGGACTAACCAGGGACCGGACATAACAGCTAACAGCAATATTTATGCAAAATTAAAAAAATAACAATTATTTTTTATTTTTATATTATAAATCCAATATAACAATTATTTTTGATTTTTATATTGTATGTCCTAGATAACAGTTATTGAAGACTTTAATTTATAAAAGTCATCAATAAAAATCAATCGGTGACTTTTAGTTTTAAAAGTCATCAATATAAATCAGTCACCGACTTCTGTTTTTTAAATCATTCGTATAAGAGTCATTAACATTTTTCGCAGTTAAGAAGGTGTTGGGAAACAAAAGTGTACTACGATTTATACGAATGACTTTTATAAGTATGATTTAAAAAATAAAGGTCAGTGACTGATTTTCGTTTATGACTTTTATAAATAAAAGTCTTCGATATGTCTGTTATCTAAGACATATAATTTAAAAATCAAAAATTCCGATTATTTGCAGATTATTTAGATAAAAATCAAAAATAATTGTTATTTTGGGTTAATAAAATAAAAGTCAGAAATAACGGTTATTCAAGGAGTAATTAAATAAAAGTCAAAGAATAATTGTTACTGAGCGAGTTTTTAATATAAGATGTAACTGTAACGGTCCCTGGGACAAACTACTAGAACCATTTGCTAAAAAGGAACTCCCATGGAATCCGCGTATAGATAAAGCTATCCAGCGCCTACATTCGGGTCTACCAGAGACTAATGGGCAGGGGCTGTGGCATCAAACCTGAATCGGCAAGTTGGATGGCTCCCACCGATTTAAGACCTACTTTGTACTTTGCATTAATTAAGATAGGGCCTCCGCTGTTTACAGCAAAAGTAATCTCAGGAATAATGCAAAGAATAAGAAGATAGAACATCCATCCACTCAAGTATACTGAGCACTCTAGTAAACTAGACCAGCATGTGGGAAGCTAACTCCCTATTTTAAGATGAAGGGCATACATTTCAACCATATCTCAGCACTTTGCAGAAAGTGGGGCGGCCAACAAACACGTCTTCATAAACTCTGCAAACAAGGCAACCCTCCTCGACCTTAAGGCATGCCACATGCCATAAAAGCTTTGGG